GGAACACGATTCGGAATGAGCGGAAGCGCGGAAGTCAGGCCAGCGTTGCAGCGGGAGCACGATTCGGAATGAGCGGGAGCCCGAAAATGAGACTAGCAATTCTGCGGGAGCAGCATGTTGAAACAAATTCAGACCGAAACCCATCTCCAGGGAACCTTGTGTGTATAAAACAATACGCGGAGGGGGGCCGGATATTTTCTTGACGTCATCAGTGGAGAGAGGAGAGTAGTATTCGTATTGTGTAATTGTGGAGAGGGAGGGAGCGAGGGAGCGAGGGAGAGAGGGAGAGATGGAGAGGGAGAGAGGGAGAGAGGGAGAGAGGGGGAAGAGGAGGGGGAGGGGCAGGGGAAGGGGGAGGGGCAGGGGGAGGAGGAGGAGCGGGATGGGGAGGAGGAGGAGGGGGAGAGGGAGGAGGAGGAGGAGGAGGAGGAGGAGGAGGCGGAGGAGGACGACGAGGGCGAGGACGAGGACGAGGACGAGGACGAGGAGGAGGAGGAGGAAGAGGAAGAGGAAGGGGAATCCTCTGATCCTCGAGCGCGGGGTGGGGTCCTGCTGCTTGGCACGCCGCGTCAACCACACCCTGCAGTGGGGGCGTGTGCCAAGAAACCAGTTGGATTTTGCCAGGGCGCCCTGGGTTTCTTGGATTTCGATGTGCCCCCAATAAGATCTTGACGATTTTCGATCGACAAACTTGGGTTTTCACTGAACAAATCGCGGACTGCAGTGTTGGGTTTCTTGCGGAGGTTTCTTGTGGCCGAGCCCCCACTGTACACCTTCATGCATGGGCAGAAGACAATGACGTAGACGACAATGAGCGAACACACCGACACGATGCAACCCGCAGTGACGAAACAGCAATGCCCCTTCCAGCACCATCCCCAACGGGTGTGGCGAGCTGCATGCTTCTTTCAACCACCAGCCAGAAAAGAAATGGACAAGAACACACAGCGGAAAGCACAATGCCGAGATGTTGCACTAAAGCTTGCTTGCCATGTACTCCAACATCGCGTCTTGGACCAAGACGCGTAACGCATGCCACACCCACACGATGTGGCCCACGAGCACAAGCCGTGGCAATACATGATGAACAACGTCGCTTCCGTGAAGAAGACAAAAACAAAAGAAGACATTGATGAAGACACCCGGCAACAGTAGTGACCCGCATTGAAGTAATGATTTGTGCCACCTCTAGCAATACTCTGAAAGTATGTGGCGAGTTGCACGCTATTTTCAACCACCAGCCAGAGAATAACAATACAAAACCCACGTGAAATACATTGCCGAGCACTGCACCAAAACGTCCTGAGGGCACACCAGGCCCGAGAGCGAGGGGAATGCTAGCCATACGGCTCATCCCTCGATCCCTAGATGAAACATCCTTGAGCCTCATCCCACCAGAAATCGGCTGCACAATGACAACCAGTGGAAAGCGCCCAGGCCCGCAATACAAGTACAAACTGCCTCGAACACCGTAGCGGACCCCATGCCCACAACTATCACCAGCACGCCCAGCAGCCCATTCACCAAGAAGCCCTGCCTCATAACACGAGGATACCACCAGGAAAGTGAGCTGCAGCGGCATGTACCCGCACTCAACCCGGCGTTGCCAGGAGCACCTGGACCTCAAGCGGCAGGGGGAGGCGCACCTCCCCACATTAAGCCTCGGGACGACGGCCGAGCGGCGTTGCGGGCTTCCCTCTCGGCGGGGACTGCGGGGCCCGTCTTTAGGTAAGAGGAAATGAAAGAGGAGGAGGATGAGGATGATGAGGAGAGGAGGAGAGGAGGATGGAGGAGGGGAGGAGTAGGATGAAAGGGGGAGTAGGAGCAGGAGGAGGAGGATCAGGAGGTAGATGATGCCAATCCATTTCTGTGCTGTGTATGCGGGCAACTTCGTCGTTGTCGTGAGCCCTGGGGGGCCTCCAATCCTTCCCTGGACGCTTGCGTGTAGCGTTGCCTCGGTACGGTCCGGCTGGGGAACGCCCCCTCGAAGTCTGATGCAGGTGGCGGCTTGCAAACACAGCGTTACCGTTTCTTTAAGGTAGGAGCTGAGAAACTGAGGACTGAGGGGGTAGGATGGGAGGAGAAGGAGGAGGGAGGAGGGAGGAGGAGGGGAGGAGGGGGAATGGGAGGGTGGAAGAGGAAGAAGGAGGGGGACGGAGGTGAGGAGGAGGGGGGAGAGGACTCAGGAGAGTATTGCTTGCTGACGTGCACGGCGTCTTATTCGCCCCCCCTGGGCCAGCACATGTGTATTCTGCATATATATATATATATATATATATATATATGTGTGTGTGTGTGTGTCTGTGTGTGTCTGTGTGTATATATATATATATATATATGAGTTGGGCCCCTGGGCGGTGCCTGTCATCTCCATGGGGTGTGCAGGGCGCCCCCGGGAGCGTCCGAAGCGTCCCGGAGGGCCCCTGGGACCGCCAGGAACAGTTCGAGACCGCCCAAGACGGCCCGCGAGCGCTCCAAGACGCGCATAGATAGCCTCAGGAATGGCCTGGAAGGCCCGAAGACGTTCCAAGAGAGCTCCATGAGGCCCCGAAGGCATCCCAAGAGGCCTCCCAAGAGAGCCCGGACAAGCCAACATCGTTGATTTGTATTGTTTGTTTCTAGGTTTTTGGCTTTCTCGCTTTTTCGGGGTTCCGACGCTCCAAGACCGTCCAAAAGTCTCCCAAAACCACTCCAAGACGGCCGAAGAAGCCCCCAAGACCGCCCCAAGACGGCCCAAGAGACCCCCCAAATCGTCCCAAGACGGCCCAGGAGAGCCCCAAGATGGCCCAGGAGCCGCCCAAGACGGTTCCAGGAGAGCCCCGACAGGGCTTCAAGACTGCCTAAACGAGCCCAGCGGTCCCCAAGAGGGCCCCGCCAGGCCCCAAGAGGCCCCGAAGAGGCCCCCAAGAGCCTCCCCGGAGGCCCCCAGAGGCCCCCAAGAGGCCCAAAAAATGGCCCTGAGCGCGCCCCAAGACGCCTCCAGGAGAGCCCAACAGGCCTCCGAGAGGCCCCCAAGAGGCCCACTGGAGGCCCTCAGGAGGTCGTCCCCATCATGTTCCCGGAAGGCGGTCCGGGAACATGATTCCGTTCCGTTCTCTTAGAGGATTTTTTTTCTCTTCCTGCGCAGATTTCCAGAGGTCGTGCCTTCCGGGCGCCTTGGACGATAGTACTATGTTTCTATCGATTGTCCTTCGCCTGTTTACACAATCCTACATGTCTTTGCGTATGTTTTTTATTACTATAATATATATATATATATATGTATGGTCTATATAATAACTATCTATATATATATATATATGACTCTATATATATAAAGAGGCCCACTGTAGGCCCTCAGGAGGTCGTCCCCATCATGTTCCTGGAAGGCGGTCCGGGAACATGATTCCGCGCCTTGGAGGAGTATTCTGTGCTTTCCGAGGCGCCTTCCGAGGCGCCTTGGACGACGTGCGTATGTTTCTATATATTGTCCTTCTCTTGTGTACACAATCCTACATGTCTTACGTATGGGCCTCTCTCTCTCTATATATATACACATACGCACACACAGTTATAAATACATATATATATATATAGATATGTATATATACATATACATATGTATATATACATATATATATATATATACACCCCTCCCCCAAGCCCTCCCGAGTCGTGCCACTTCCTTCCACGCATTTCAAATACTTCCCCCTATATAGAGGCCCCCAAGATGCCCAACAATGGCCCTGAGCGCGCCCCAAGACGCCTCCAGGGGAGCCCAACAGGCCTCCGAGAGGCCCCCAAGAGGCCACTGGAGGCCCTCAGAAGGTCGTCCCTCATCATGTTCGCCCGGAAGGCGGTCCTGGAACATGATTCCTTGCCTTGGAAAGAGTAATTCTCGTTTTTCCGAGGCGCTTTTTCTTTTTTCCGCGCGCCCTTGGACAACGTACCCATGTTTATACAGATTGTCCTTCTCCTGGTGCACCATTGTTGTCTACATGTACTTGCACGTATTGTCTTATACGAATTAACATCTATGTATATATACATATATAGATAGATAATATATATATGTATATATCTATATATATTGCCTAATATATATATATATATCATGTATAACATATATATATTATATATATACATGTACATATCTATATAATGTATATATACAGGCCTCAAAGAGGCCCACTGGAGGCCCTCGGAAGGTCGTCCCCGTCATGTTCCCGGAAGGCGGTCCGGGAACATGATTCCGCGCTTTGGAGGAGTATTCTGCGCTTTCCGAGGCGCCTTCCGAGGCGCCTTGGACGACGTACTACGTTTCTATAGCTTGTCCTTCTCCTGTGTACACAACCCTACATGTCTTACGTATGGGCTTCTGTTGGAGATTGTATTTGCTGGGGTCGGAGACCCCCCTCTGCAGGAGATAGCATGGCACGGCATGGAGAGAGCAAGCACCGCAGGTCCTTTGGCTCTGATGTTGAGGGGAATCAGCATCAATATCGCTACATGGTATCGGAGCTCGGTTCCTGTGCCCACGGGATCTGAGCTCGCGTGCCCACTCTCAGCGCACCTCTCAGTCGGAGATGGCGGCGCTCGATGTGGTCGACGTGCGGACGGACATGCGGCTGCAGAGGTTCGATGGCACTGATGAGAGGTGGGGAGACTGGAGTCTCAGGTTCGAGGCCTACACGGCGCTGCTCGGCATGGAGGATCTCATGACCGAGGCGGCCAATCGGCGGGATCCGCTGCCGAACGACCAGCTTGGTGACCTCGCGAGGGCAGTGAGCCAGCGGCTGTGGCACCTGCTGATCACGTGGTGCGACGGCAAGTCGCTGGGAGTGGTCAAGCTCTCGCGGAAGAACGGCCTCGAGGCGTGGCGCCAGCTCAAGATAGAGTACGAGAGCAGGTCAGGCAACAGGTGGACGGCCATGTTGCGATTCATCCTGAACCCCCAGGACAAGTGGGCGAAGGACCGAGAGTCGGGCATCGACTTCTTCCAGTCGCTCACTGCCTGGGAGGCTATCGTGGCAGAGTACGTGGACCAGAGTGGCGAGGCCGTCTCAGACAACGTGCGAGTGAGCGTGCTGCTGGAGCACGCGCCAGAACCATATCGTGAAGTTCTTCGGCAGGCTCCTGAGGATGCGAAGCTCACGTTCAGCGCGGCCCGGAGTCACATCCGAGGTTACTACAATCAAGGACGGACCTTCACACACGTTCCAGATACGGGCGGAGTCGTGCCGATGCAGGTGGATGCAGTGCGAGGCGGACCTCCCACAGGCAAATCTCAGGGCAAGGTCGGCAAGACGGGCAAGACGGACAAGTCAGGAAGGACTGGCAAGAACCCGAAGGGTGGCAAGGACTCGAAGACCAAGTCAAATAATCGTGACGGCATGCAAGGACACGGCAAGGGACAGGCAGAGCACTTCGAGGGCGAGTGCGGCTACTGCGGCAAGTGGGGCCACAAGCGCGCGGACTGCAGGAAGAAGAAGGCAGACGACGCCAAGAAGGAGACTGGTAACACGCGGGCAGTCCAGGGCGATGCGGCGGCAGCGGGCTCTGGGCAGCAGCAGTCGGACGGCACGGTGCGTGCTGCATCGGGCTACAATGACGGCGCCCCCGACGGCTGGGTGTTCGCGGTCTCGGCGACGACGGACGGCAAGGTGGCGCAGGTCGGCGGCTCCATCCTGATCGACAGCGGCAGCGACGACCACCTGTGCAGGCACAAGTTCGTCCCAGAGGCCCCAGTCAACAGTGCGGCAGACGCGCCGAGGCTCTTCGACGTGCAGCAGAAGCCGTTGCCGGCGGCTGGCCTTCGGGGTGTTGAGATGACGATGCAGGAGGGCATCAAGGCGACGGCGGACTTTCTCGTCGCCGACGTGAACGACGACCTGCTGAGCATGGGCAAGCTGCTCAGGCAGGGCTTCAAGTTCAATATCAGTCTGGAGGATGGGCTCTACATGGCGAAGGGCCATCGCAGCGTGCAGCTGGAGCTCGAGCGGAACAGCCTCAGGCTCCCGATCGTGTCCGCGGGGCCCGCGGCAGCTGCGCACCATTGCCGCGGCGCGGCAGAGCAGCAGGAGGTGGCGACGGCACCGGTGCTCACGGCGGAGAGCTCGGTCGGCGCGCTGAGGACCAGGCTGAGGGAGTTGTTCATGCCGATTTACGGCGCGAAGCTTGAGCTGTGGGAACGGCTCATCGCGGCAGAGGCAGCCCACAGGCGCGCGGAGGCAGAAAAGCAGCACAAGCTGGCAGTGAAGGAGCAGCTCGGGATTCAGCACGACCCCGTCGAGGCGAGGCAGCTCCCTGCGCCGAAGGCCCCGAGCGCGGAGGAGGAGAGGCAGCATCGCCTCACGCATCTGCCCGCTGCGCCGTGGTGCGAGGAATGCGTCAGGGGCAAGGGTCCAGACGCCCCTCACTCGCTGGTCAGGCTCGAGGACTCGGAGCAGAAACACCCGCTCATCAGCTGCGACTTCGGCTGCTGCAAGACGGCCGACGAGGAGGTGGACCTGACCAAGGTCGAGGATACCTACGCGACGATGCTCGTGGGGTTCAGCTCGGACACGGGAGTGGTGAAGGTGATTCCATGTCCATCGAAGGCAGCATCACCATACGCGGTTGAAGGCATCAAGTGATTTGTGCAGCGGCTCGAGACTGGCAAGTGCAGGCTCAGGACAGACACTGAGCAGGCGACGAAGGCCATCCTAGACGGCGTGGTCAGCGAGCTCACGGGCAGGATCACACCAGAGCTGACCCCGAAGCACAGCAGCCAGCCGAACCCAGCGGAGGCAGCGGTGAAGATAGTCGAGGGCCAGACGCGGGTTCTCAGGCTGGACCTCGAGAAGCGCTACGGCACCAAGGTCACGGCAGCGATGCCGATCTGGGCCTGGATGATGCGACACGCTGGGTGGCTGCACGAGCGGTTCTCACGGCGAGCTGGAGGACAGACCCCGCACGAGATGGCGACGGGCACCCCCTACAAGGGCGACATCTGCAACTTCGGCGAGACGGTGCTGCATCGGATTGCGCGGCCTGCGCATCGAGGTCTCGCTGGGGGACGACGTCTACACCGAGGGGGGGCCCAGTGGGGCAGAGGGATCTGGGTCGGCAGATCGGACGAGTCTCAGGAGCACCTGGTGATGACGCCTCGGGGGCTCGACCGCGCGCGGACGGTGCGACGGCTCCCTGAAGGAAAGCAGACGGGCAAGGAGCTCCTGCTGACGGTGGCGGGGCTACCCTGGGCTACGAGGACGGCCCCCGAGAGGTCGAAGCGCAGGCGGGCACCACAGCAGGTGGCGACGGAGCTCCCGAAGGCGGATGCACAACTCCAGCCTGATGCTCCACAGCCACAGCAGCCAGGACCACCTGAGGGCGGAGCGGCGCCTGCTCAGCCCCAGGCACCGCAGCGGGCACCTCCTGCGGCAACGGCGGCCCCGCCGCAGCCGCAGCCTCCAGCGCCAGCGCCGCCGGCGCCGAGTGACGTGGTGATGGGGGCGGCGCCCTCGCAGGCGGCGAGGCGCGAGGTCTCGCCTGCGGCGGAAGTTTCAGAAGGCAAGCGAGCGCGAGTTGCGGCAGTCCACGCGCTGGACGTCGGCAACGTGGACGACTCGCCCGACGCGTTCTGGGAGGAGGTCTCAGACGGGGTCGAGGACCCGACGGACGGCATGTTCGACGTGGACATGCAGGACGAGCTGGACAAGAGGCCTTTTTTTTTTGTCATCCTTTTTTTCTTTGTTTTTTTTTTTTTTTTTTTTTTTTTTTTTTTTTTTTTTTTTTTTTTTTTTTTTTTGTTTTTTTTTTTTTTTTTTTTTTTTTTTTTTTTTTTTCGTTTTTTTTTTGTTTTTTTTTTTTTTTTTTTTTTTTTTTTTTTTTTTTTCTTCATTTTTTTTTTTTTTTTTTTTTTTGCCTTTTTTTTTTTTTTTTTTTTTTTTTTTTTTTTTTTTTTTTTTTTTTTTTTTTTTTTTTTTTTTTTCTTTTTTTTTTTTTTTTTTTTTTTTTTTTTTTTTTTTTTTTTTTTCACGCTGGAGCACCTGCAGAGCCTCCTGGACCACGGCGTCGGCGAGGACATCCCCAAGTCGGAGGCGAGAGGGATGAAGCACATCACCACGCGCTGGGAGAAGCAGTGGAGGTGGAAGCCAGCGCTGCGGGAGCGGCAGCGCAAGGTGCGATTCGTCTGCCGCGAGTTCCGCTGGCAGGAGTGGCGAGACGACCTGTTCACGCCAGGATCAGCCCCGATCTCCAACAGGCTGATCGACTTCGTGGCTCTCAAGCGCGGCTTCGAGGTGATGGCGCTGGACGCGACGGACGCCTTCTACCAGGCGCCCGAGTATGAAGACGTGGTGGTGGACCCCCCGCAGGAGTACCTGGACATGCTCAAGGTGGAGGGCAAGGACACGGAGATCTACTGGAAGCTGAAGAAGCAGCTACCTGGCAGGCGCACGGCAGCGCCAGGCTGGGTGGAGCACATGGCGGGCATCCTCACGGACGAGATGCACATGACGAGGTGCGAGGTGGCCCCGCAGTTCTTTTACAATCCTGAGAGTGAGGTGGTGGTTGAGCTGCACATGGACGACCTACACATGACTGGATCGAGGGGCGCGCTGGAGGGCTTCCGTGACGAGCTGAAGTTGCACGTGACCTTCAGCGGCGGCGAGATCCACGAGTACGGCACCACTTACGAGCACCTGAAGAGGCTGAGGACGAGGTGCGAGCAGGGCACTGAGCTGCAGGCCAACCCGAAGTACCTCGACTACGTGGTGGAGACTCTCTGCCTGGGCAGCTCGAACACGGCACCCACACCTGGAGTGCCAGCGCACAAGGCGCTCATGGGGAGCACCCCCGCTCTGTCTCAGCAGCAGGCTGGCGTCTACCGCTCGTGCGTGGGGGCGCTGATGTATTACGTTCAGGACAGAGCGGACTGCCAGTACGAGGTCAGCTTACTGGGCAGAATGCTGTCAGGCCCCACCGTCGGCGCATTCACCGCACTCAAGAGGCTCGTGAGGTACCTGCTCGGCACGAGGGATGCGGTGAACTGGCTATCGAGACCGACGGAGGGCACGAACGTGGAGCTGGTTGGCTTCGGCGACAGCGACTGGGCGGGCGACCTGCAGACGAGGAGGTCACAGTCGAGCGGCAAGATCGAGATCGACGGCGTTCCCATGCACTCGTTCAGCAGGCGCCAGGGCATCGTGGCCACCAGTTCGGGAGTTGCAGAATGCTATGCGGCGACGGCGGTCGCCGAAGACATACTCTACTTCAAGTCGCTCCTGGAGTTCATGGGCTTCTCAGTGGCGGCTACTCTGCTGACGGACTCGTCAGCTGCCCGAGGTATCGCCCGACGGGAAGGAGTTGGAAAGGTTCGAAGTCTGGAGGCGCGAGTGCTCTGGCTCCAGCAGGCGATCAAGCGGGAGCTGATGGACCGGGACCGTCGGCACCGACGATAACAAAGCGGACCTGGGCACGAAGATCTTCGGACACGATCGCTTCGTCAAGCTCAGGACGCTCAGCGGCATCTACACGGACATAGGCCAGGTCGCGGAGAGCGACCAGCAGTCGGAGGAGGTGGACTTCGACGAGGGGGCGGCTGCGCGGGCGCGGCGCTCAAGGAGTGCGGCGGGCTTTCCTGGTGCCAATCGCTCGGCGGCCCTTGCAATGATCACGGCAGCGGCGACGCTCTTGCAGGGATGTGAGGGCCAGACCGCTCACTACGACGGCTACTACTACGACACGGAGGTTTGCTCCACGGACGGCATTGTCGCGAGCGGCTGGACGAGCTACTTGCTGATGGTGGTCGTCTGGACGTTGGTCGTGGCCGCCGTCAGCGGCTATGTGGGATTCAATTGCGCCGACGTGCGGGATCCAGAATGGCTCCTGGTCCCGCCCGAGCCCGATACGACGCTGAAGGAGATGCGGCCCACGGACATGGTGGACACTACCATTCCCAGCGTGCCAGCCTCGTCGGTGATGACGCGACCGAGTCAGACGAGGCGGAGTGTGAGCACGCAGTCGCAGACAACGTACAAGTGGAAGTGGGCAGCTCCGCGGTTTCAGCCAGTGCAGGACCACGCGCACGGTGTTTTCCTTGAAGTGCGCGTGGACAACGCCAGAGGACTTTTCTTGGGCTGAACCTGATGCGAGGCTCAGGGTATAGGACCTTGAGCGGCTACGCTTCGCGCTGTGAGAATGACAGCGCGAGATTCTATGGGCCTACTCTCTCATCCACCATGCACAATGCCAGTTGCTGTGTAAGATATTTTTCCCTTGGAAGCCGAGCCAATCAAGCAGGCCAGCTAGTGACGTTTGAGTTCGATGCAGGATAGTGCTTCGGTTGCGTAGTTATTTAGCCGGGGGGACGCCCCAGCCTGTCATCCTGGGGGACGCCCCAGCCAGACAAAGTTTTCGGGAGTCGGTTGAAAGCTCGACTCGGAGTGTGCGCCGAGCTTCCAAGGGGGCGTGTTGGAGATTGTATTTGCTGGGGTCGGAGACCCCCCTCTGCAGGAGATAGCATGGCACGGCGTGGAGAGAGCAAGCACCGCAGGTCCTTTGGCTCTGATGTTGAGGGGAAACAGCATCAATATCGCTACAGCTTCTCTCTCTCTCTCTATATATATATATATATGCGCATATATATATATATACACATACGCACACACATATATATATATATATATATATATATATATATATATATGTATATGTATATATAGATATATACATATATACCCCTCCCCCAAGCCCTCCCGAGACGTGCCATTTCCTTTCACGTATTTCAAATTCTTCCCCATACATAGAGGCCCCCAAGATGCCCAACAATGGCCCTGAGCGCGCCCCAAGACGCCTCCAGGAGAGCCCCACAGGCCTCCGAGAGGCCCCCAAGAGGCCCACGGGAGGCCCTCAGAAGGTTGTGCCCATCATGTTCCCGGAAGGCGGTCCGGGAACATGATTCCGCTCCTTGGAGGAGTTTTCTGCGCTTTCCGAGGCGCCTTCCGAGGCGTCTTCGGCGACGTACGTATGTTTCTATCGATTGTCCTTCTCTTGTGTACACAGTCCTACATGGCTTACGTATGCGTCTATATATATAATGTATATATACATTTACATATATATATATATATATATTGTATATATATATATATATACAGATACTCCTCCCCCAAGCCCTCCCGAGTCGTGCCACTTCCTTCCACGTATTTCAATTTCTTCCCCACATATAGAGGCCCCCAAGATGCCCAACAATGGCCCTGAGCGCGCCCCAAGACGCCTCCAGGGGAGCCCAACAGGCCTCCGAGAGGCCCCCAAGAGGCCAACGGGAGGCCCTCAGAAGGTTGTCCCCGTCATGTTCCCGGAAGGCGGTCCGGGAACATGATTCCGCGCCTTGGAGGAGTATTCTGCGCTTTCCGAGGCGCCTTCCGAGGCGTCTTCGACGACGTACCTGTGTTTATATAGATTGTCCTTCTCCGTGTACACAATCCTACATGTATTACGCAGTTCTATTTACAAGTTATGTATATATATATTAATATATATATATAGATAATATATATATGCACATATATAACACCACGTACATATCAAAACATATAGATATTATATTAATATTATTATATCTATATAATATATCTATATATAATACATACATATATATATAACCCCTCCCCAAAGCCCTCCCGAATCGTGCCATTTCCTTCCACCTATTTCGAATTCTTCCCAATATATGGAGGCCCCCAAGATGCCCAACAATGGCCCTGAGCGCGCCCCAAGACGCCTCCAGGAGAGCCCAACAGGCCTCCGAGAGGCCCCCAAGAGGCCCACTGGAGGCCCTCAGAGAAGGTCGTCCCCATCATGTTCCCGGAAGGCGGTCTGGGAACATGATTCCGCGCCTTGGAGGAGTATTCTGCGCCTTCCGAGGCGCCTTGGACAACGTACCTATGTTTATATAGATTGTCCTTCTCCTGTGTACACAGTCCTACATGTCTTATGTATGGGTCTATACATACATCTATATATAACTATATATAAATATGTGTATATATATGTATGTACATGTGTGTATATATATATATATATATATACACATGTATATATACAGGCCTCCAAGAGGCCCCCAAGGGGCCCACTGGAGGCCCTCAGAAGGTCGTCCCCGTCATGTTCCCGGAAGGCGGTCCGGGAACATGATTCCGCGCCTTGGAGGAGTATTCTGCGCTTTCCGAGGCGCCTTCCAAGGCGCCTTGGACGACGTACTACGTTTCTATAGATTGTCTTTCTCTTGTGTACACAATCCTACATGTCTTACGTATGGGCTTCTCTCTCTCTCTCTCTCTCTATATATATATATATATATATATATATCGGAGTAGGGCCCCGGGGCGGTGCCTGTCATCTCCATGGGGTGTGCAGGGTGCCCCCGGGAGCGTCCGAAGCGTCGCGGAGGGCCCCTGGGACCGCCAGGAACAGTTCGAGACCGCCCAAGACGGCCCGCGAACGCTCCAAGACGCGCATAGATAGCCTCAGGAATGGCCAGGAAGGCCCGAAGACGTTCCAAGAGAGCTTCATGAGGCCCCGAAGGCATCCCAAGAGGCCTCCCAAGAGAGCCCCGACAAGCCAACATCGTTGTTTTTTTTTTTTGGGGGGGGGGGGTTGGCCTTCTCGCTTTTTCGGGGTTCAGACGCTCCAAGGCCGTCCAAGAGTCTCCCAAAACCGCTCCAAGACGGCCGAAGAGGCCCCCAAGACCGCCCCAAGACGGCCCAAGAGACCCCCAAAATCGTCCCAAGACGGCCCAGGAGAGCTCCAAGATGGCCCAGGAGCCGCCCAAGACGGTTCCAGGAGTGCCCCGACAGGGCTTCAAGACTGTCTAAGCGAGCCCAGCGGTCCCCAAGAGGGCCCGGCGAGGCCCCACGAGGCCCCAAAGAGGCCCCCAAGAGCCTCCCCGAAGGCCCCCAGAGGCCCCCAAGATGCCCAAAAATGGCCCTGAGCGCGCCCCAAGACGCTTCCAGGAAAGCCCCACAGGCCTCCGAGAGGCCCCAAAGAGACCCACTGGAGGCCCTTAGGAGGTCGTCCCCATCATGTTCCCGGAAGGCGGTCGGGGAACATGATTCCGCGCCTTGGAGGAGTATTCTGCGCCTTCCGAGGCGCCTTGGACGACGTACGATTCATATTCTTGAACGCTTTCCGGAAACATGATTTCTCACCGTTTCGGAACGCTTTCCTACTTGCAGATTGGGCTCCGAGGAGGGAGCGCCCGCTCCCTCTTTTCCACACCTGTGGCAAGCCAAAATGCTGCAGCATCAACACGCACATGCACGACAGTAACATACACGCCAGGGGCCTCCCCGGGGCCCTGAGATCAGCACTGACTAAAAACAAAAAAGTGCGTCATTGAGGCTGCACACCCTAAACGCATGACTCTCATGCTCACGGCACCCGGGTCCTCGACCTCGGAGGAGACGAGGAGGGAGTGGCGGCGGTCGGCGTCGGCTGCTCGGCCTCCCCGTCCTCCATACCCTCGTCCACCGTCGTGAGGAGAAAGTCACGGGACGCCTTAAACTCACGTATCATCATCTTGATGAACTTCAGGCGCTGGTCTTCGTAGTCCGCCAGCTCCTGGGTCCCCCACTCGCACAGGTTCTCGATTGCCTGCACGAACTCCCTGTCCTCGGGGAGCTTCGTAGAAATGACGCTCCACGCGTCCGAATCTGACTGTCCTGGCACGCCCTCGTATGAGTGCTGCGCCGGTACCCGTAGGCTTTCCATGACTGACTCCATGCCCTCGAGCACCTCCGGGCCCTTGCCGTCCAGCACCGCGAGGTAGGCGCTGTCCAGGTGCTGCATGTACAGCAGCGCCGAGTCCTCGATGATGGCCGCCGTTCTGATGGCGATGTTTCCAGTCCCCTTGCTCCACGTCAACGTCACACGATTGCGGTGCTGGCGGCTGTCTGGATCTCCCAGGATCTGCATGTTGGTCACGACCTTGCACGTCGTCCCCGAGTGGCGGACTGGCTCCGCCTGGATGCTCTCGAACAGGCTCCTGACTCCGTCCTCCGTCAGGCAGCTCTCGAATTTGACCATGGCCGGGCGCCGGTGGCGTCGGCTGGCGACTGGGCCGATCCTTCCTGCTGCCAGCCGAAAGAAGCTGACGACGGACACGCTCTTGGGCTGCTGCTGCCATGACGGCTGGCTCGTCGGCTAACTGATATTTACCGCTTGTCATTGTGGCTCTCAACATATCTGCTGGCTCGGCTTTGTCTTTAGTCAATATATCTGCTAGCTGAAGGGCTGATGGTACCCACCGATAGCTCACACCTAGACGTTTCACGCTCTCCTTAGTGATGACTAGATCGACCGCCACTCGCTTGTCCGAACATGACCCCGCACTCCCACAGCCGACGATGTGATCGTACAACGACTTACAGTCCGTGACCGCAATGGGAGCCAACTTCGGAAGGCACTCAGATCGACGACGCAAGCAGAATTTTCCATCGCTGCCCTCGAGGAGCAGGCAGGAGATCCACTCGAGGTGACCTAGGCCGTCCATCTGGGCCTGAGTCTCCGCGGCGAGAGTCGACGATGTAACTCGACGAAGGCGATAGCTTTTCCAGACCAGCGGGCTCCAGGGGCTCAACTCGTTTCGGATCATGTTCTCGTCGGTCGCAGCGATGACGTAACCTGCCTGGGTCCCGGATTTCGAGGCGTTCTGGTTCGAGGCGTCGGCGTGCATGATGACCCGGAGACGTTCGATCGGAATCGGTTTGATCTTCCAGGACAGGTTCGAGAATTGTTTTGCCCTCCTCACGATCGTGTTCCCGTGTCTCACCTCCCCCACCGTCGGCCCGGGCATGCACTGCTGGCTCATCGAAACCTGGACTGCTAGATCTGGCCTAGATTCTCGAGCTAACCAGTTGCCGCTACCGAGCATCGCGCGGAAGTTCGCGATTTCCTTCTCGGTCGCCGGGGTCTCTGGGGGCGCTCGGGGTCTCACACCAGCGGGCTTCATCGACTCAGCGAACTCCTTCTGAGACACGGTTATCTCCATAGCCACGGGATTCTGGACGAGATATGACCCACAGAACTTCCCCCCGTTGACCTTCCACTTGGGGAAAGGGAACCTCGTGCGCAGAAATCTGATGAAA